TGAGGGGGCCCAGGTGTGAGGGGCCCAGGTGTGAGGGGGCCCAGGTGTGAGGGGGCCCAGGTGTGAGGGGCCCAGGTGTGAGGGGCCCAGGTGTGAGGGGGCCCAGGTGTGAGGGGCCCAGGTGTGAGGGGGCCCAGGTGTGAGGGGCCCAGGTGTGAGGGGCCCAGGTGTGAGGGGGTCCAGGTGTGAGGGAGCCCAGGTGTGAGGGGGCCCAGGTGTGAGGGAGTCCAGGTGTGAGGGAGTCCAGGTGTGAGGGGGTCCAGGTGTGAGGGGCCCCAGGTGTGAGGGGGTCCAGGTGTGAGGGGGCCCAGGTGTGAGGGGCCCAGGTGTGAGGGGGCCCAGGTGTGAGGGGGCCCAGGTGTGAGGGGCTCAGGTGTAGAAAGGTCAGGGCAGCAGCACGGCAATGGGACGGCCCTCGGGCAGCAGGGGAGGCGAGAGCCCCTCCGGCTCAGGACAAGGGCTGGGGGTGGGGCACAGGGCGGGGCAGGACAGGCAGCAGAGCTGGGCCCGCTGGCCCCGAGCTGAGCTCGTGCAGGCCGCCCCTGTACCTGCCCCCCCTCCCGCCCCGCGGGACAGCCACACGAGGGGAGGCGTCAGCCCTCGGGAACACGGGCCTTGCACAGGCCGCACGGCGCCCGCAGGCACTGCCCACTTGCCGGGGGCCCAGCTCGCGGCCCGGCTCGGACCAAGGGGTTGAGCGCGTCTCCCGAGGGGAGGGAGGGCTGACGCCCTACACGGGCCTGAAGAGCTAGGCTGGCCATGCGCCCGGACTGCAGGGCCGCCAGACACAGTGCCCAGGGCACTGGACACAGCCGAGAGCAGACGCGGAGGCCGCGCCTGTGGGCTTGGGGCCTGGTCACGTGGGGATCAAAGCTGCAGTCGGCCAAGGGGCTCGGGCTTTGGCAGGGGCCGCAACGCTGCTCTGTGCCCACCCAGGCCAGCCTGCACCGGCTGCCCGCACACCTGTGAAGAGGCCGCTGGCCAGTGTGTCCAGTGGGCTGCAGGGGGCCCACAGGTCAGTGGGCTGGGCTGGCGGAAGGGGCAGTTTCCCACATCAGCCTCCGGGCGGGAGGTGGGCGGGCGGCTACCGCCTGTCCAGAGGGTGGAGTCATGCTCTGCACTGCCCCGAGGTCAGGCCGGGCCGGGGAGGCCGCTGCTAAGTCCCGTGGTACCAGAGGGCAGCCCTGCCCACCAGGCAAACCAGGTGCTTGTGGCTGCGAAAGTGCAGGGTTGAGGCTGGGCCCAGGCCCTCCCTGGACTGGAGGAGGCCCCGGAGACCCCCCACCCCCGGGGCACCCTCGGCCCGCACCTGGCGAGGGCCCGTGACCCTGAGGGCGGAGACCGGTGCTGGGGGGGACGCCCACCCCCTCCCGTCCCCCGCCGCCCGTCGCTCACCGGCTGTGCCCTCCTTGGCCAGGCGCTCCAGGGGCAGGCGCACAGAGTCGTGCTCCACTGAGCAGGTGATGAAGTGGGGTGCGGCCGCTGGGGCCTCCCCGGATGCATGACTTTCCTGGAACCACTTGACCATGGACTGGATGACCAGGTTATTGGACTGCAGAGAGGGCGGGGTGGCACTTAGTGGTGGCCAGCGCGTCAGGCGGCCTGCCCCCGTGCAGAAGGCGCTCGGCCCCAGTCACCCTCAAGAAGCCTGGCCCCGGGTCAGCACATGGGGTCCCCCAGGGCCCGGCGGGGCTGGCCGGGGCTCCCTGCAGGCTCCGCCCCAGGCTCCCAGCCGGGCCCCCTCGGGGGCTTCCTGACTGGCATCACTCGCACCCCGCGAGCAGTTACTTCCTACACAGTTCACATTTCGGGGTGCTCTGGCAAATGCCTATTTGTTGACGGTACATAAAAATCCAGTTGGTCCTGGGAGCGGATGACCGGGCTACATTGCTTCACTAACGTGAGTGGCCTGGCTGCAGGCTGTGGGCTTTCTGCGTGGACACTGCTGGGGGTAGCCGGGCCTCCTCTGGAAAGGCAGAGCCTGGGGCCACCTCAGGGACTGAGCCTCTTCAGTCAACTCGAAGCTAATTGGGGCTGACCCCAGCTCTGCCAGGCGCCCAGCTAGCTACACGGGAGCACCTGGAGCCCTGTCCGCGAGTCTCGGGCCAGGCGGCTGCGTCACTGTCCTTAGCGGGAGGACGGCGCCTGCGGCTTTCTCTGAAGCGGCCGCTGGGCGTGCAGCCTGGGGCGCTACCTCGGTGCCCCCCGACGTGAAGACGATGTCCTGCGGAGTCCCGCCTATCATGGTGGCCAGCTGCTCCCGCGCCGTGGCGATGACCTCCTTGGCTTTCTGACCTGAGGGGCCGAGGGAGCGCCTGAGTGCCTCCCCAGCGAGGCCGGCCCCTCCGTGAGACCTCCGGGTGAGCGGGCAGTGGCTGACCGCCCTGTCCTCGTGTGGACACTACACCCGCAGCCTAGAGGGCCCCCGCCCGGGGTCAGCGCCTCCCCAGAGGGGAGCACCGGGCCAAGCTGCGTGGGCGCCGGGGGCAGGAGGGTGGGTGACCGCAAGACCGCGCTGCGGCGGGAGGACAGCACAGCCACGGGTGCCCACTTGGCGCTCAGGGCGCCTGACCCGGGTGGGGTCCAGCACCGCCCAGGTGTGGTGATCGGCCTGGACCCAGAGTCCCACACTTTGACTACTCGTTAGAAAGAAAGAAAGCTGAGCAGGCACTCAGGGGCGGCAGGAG